GGAGAAAAAGGAGGAGGATTGGCAATAGATGTTAGCTCAGAGCCGGTCTTCCTCAGCAAAAAGAGGAGGATTGGCATGGATGTTAGCTCAGGGCTAACATCCAAAAAAAAAAAAACATAAAAAGAGACACATTTGATAGGGAACACACCTAATGAATCTATAAAGCGCTCTTAGCCTCAAAGTAAGAATTTTAAGACTCTAAGTCATACATGTTTAAGAAAATAGGGACATGTGACTGTTACAGAAGGAAAAAACAGGGAACACATAGTACAATGCTTTAAAAAGAGCAGTCTACTTCAAAAAACGGATGTTCAGTCTTTCTGATACCGACACGTTTTGTGAGAGAAAAAGCAGTAACAAAACAAAACACAAGATTTTGGCCACATAATCTCTCAAACTCATAGAATCAAATTTAGGAGAAGAATCCAATATCTACTTAAATAAAAAATGAGAGGGGATAATTTATCAAGTGCTTGTACCCAGCAGACAGGAACACAGAGTTTTTGAAGTTTTTGTTTGTTTTGTGAAAATTTATAAACAGAAACGTCATTTAGAATGGAGTCCAGAAACCTGAAGGGGGAGCTGTCACACACTGCCACTTGAGGTCAATTACAGGAAAGACTGTCAATTATAGATCCCAAGAGAAAGAAGTTCTCAACAGGAAGACTCATCAATTACAGGACCCCAATGTGAAGAAATGTACACTGCATCCGAAACACAAAAGGACTAAGCCAGCAACCCAACCAATGAGAAACCATCACCACCTTGAACTCCTGCTTTTCTCCAATGGACTTTCATTCAAAACAACTCCTCCCAAACTCCTATTTTTTCCCTATAAAATAACATTCCTCTCCTTTGATTGCTGGACTTGCCTGTGGTTTTTGCTATAGCTTGCTTGTTCTGAATTGCAATTCTTTGCTGTTCCCAAATAAACTCATTTTGCTAGTAAAATAACTGGCTGTTTTATATTTTAGGTTAACAGTTTAAAGAAGGACAATCTTTAAGAAAATTATAAGTATTAACCCTCAGAGACTAGATTTCTGGATATTTGTGTGAACCAACACCTTTTCTTCCAACTCCAACTCAAACAGATACAAAGAACAAAGCATATTCAAAACCAAATAGTGTCAATTTCTCAATTGTGATGTGTCTGAATTTAGGTCTCTGGGTCATAAATAATTTATAACACTGATAAGCAAGTCTAATCATTTCAAATTGTTACTTGCCTGGTGTGGCAGATATATTTTCACAGAACAAAAATGTTATGTTTATTTGCAGGGAACAGGAAAATTCAGAGCAAATTACATAGTAAATAGAGCCACTGGTTAACCACATACCCATTTACACAGTAAAATATTTCTGCTCTACTACTGAGTCTTCTGTTGTTAAATGTCCTGCCAGAGGATATTGAAAACAATCATTTTCTTTTCATTATACAATCTTTTTCAGTAAAATATAGAGGACCTAGTGGCAATTTCTTTACTTTTTATCTACAGAAGCTGCAGAAAAATCAACCCAAATTTAGCAATATGAGACAACTCAGTACCTCATGATGTCTGTAGAACTGGGCCAGGCCGCAGCTCATATCCTGCCAGAAGTTGGGCAAACATTTTAAGCAACCCTGGCTGTGAGGTCATGATGATGACGTCACAAACAGGAATTCTGATGTTGGTCTGCCTCTAGGATGCAACCTCACCACTTTAAAGAAAAACCAGAAGGTTCTGTATCCTTGAATCTGGAGTTGATGACTCAGGAAATGAACCCTCTCCCAAGAAATTGTCCTCCCATCTAACATTAGCAGCATCTTTCTTCACTACTGACCAGTATAAGCAATGCAGGTAAGCAGGGAAAAGCACATCCACCTAAGTATTCAGCTCACCACCAGGAATGTATTTTTAAATATTTCAGGTTTGCAACTTAGTTCAGTTCAGTTTCAAACACCTTTTCTTAGCATTCTCTCCTGGAAAATTAAGGCTATATCTAAGAATTCTGAAAAATGAGTAGGAAGTAAATCATAAACTTAAAATGTTATTCCTGCCTTGCCATTCTAATATTTCACTAACTTCACCAGCCTCAATATTTACTGTTTACTAAAAGGAGTGAGGATTACAATGTGCAAGCAAGAAGTTCATTTCAAAAATGCCCAAAGTGTAAAGCCTCAGCATAGCTCCACAATAGTGTATCTTTGCTAAGAAAAGGTAAAATTGCCAGATTGTTGTTTTCTCCTGCTTATGAGTTTTAGAGTTTGCAAGCTAGCACAGAATAAAAATTAGTGAAATTTTACTGTTATTTCTAAGTGGCTAAAATTCTCAGATTGGAAGGAAATGTAGCAAAGGATTAATAATAATAATCTCCAGGTGATGGGATTATATTGTTATTTTTTTATATCATCTTTGTGTTTTCTTGAGTTTCTCACATTTTATTTCATGAACAGGTATAATTTCTTTTTTTTTTTTATAATTTTATTTATTTATTTTTTTTCCCCAAAGCCCCAGTAGATAGTTGTATGTCATAGCTGCACATCTTTCTAGTTGCTGTATGTGGGACGCAGCCTCAGCATGGCTAGAGAAGCGGTGCATCAGTGCGCGCCCGGGATCCGAACCCGGGTCGCCAGCAGCGGAGCGCGAGCACCTAACAGTTAAGCCACGGGGCTGGCCCAGGTATAATTTCTTAAGCAGGAAAAAAATTTAATGATTTTGAGCCACAGTAAAATGGCTTCAACCAGGGAGTAATGAAGCAGACTTTACTGTGCTGCTTTCAACACAGGAGCGTAAAGGCAGCACAAGGCCAGTATGAGGAGTGGATACGCATGCAGAGTGGCTAAAGGTTCACCAAGCCTATTTCTTTCTCTTCCTGGAGTCACAGACCACATTTCCCAGCTCCCTTTGCAGACCAGTGTGACCATGTGACCGAGTTCTGTGTGGGAGGTATGCCACTTGTCGGCCTAGCCCACAAAATTCTCCCATGTGCAATCTTCTGTGCTCTTGGCCCTTCCAACAGCTTGACGGAAAGGAGGTGGGAAACCCTGAAAGCATGGATTGAGGAATGTGGGATCACAAGATGGAAGAAGCCTGAATCCCTGAATCACTTCTCCCCATTCCCCAATCAGGAAATAACCATTCTGGACTTTTCCATAACTAAAAATAAACCTTCATCCATTGAAGTCACTAGAATTAGTGGGGTTTGTTACAGCAGCTAGGTTCTCTTACCTAATACAGTGGCAAAAAAGATAAAAACTTTGCTTAGAGCTTTGGAATCATCTTGCCTAAATAAACTCTAAGCACCTGAAATAGAAGCTTCATACCACAAAAGCATAACTATATGAATAATAAATAAAAGTATTATATTTTCTTAAAAGCAAAAAGACATTTTACTGGCAAAAGCAAAATATGTTTAAAAGACACACAAGTTTGATGACACCATACTTAAACTTATATAAGACTGATGATGAGTTGATAACTGTTCAACTTAGGTGATGGTACCATTCTACTTTTGTGTAAGTTTGAAATTTTCCATAATAAAAAGTTTTTATTATAGAAGATATTTTAGTAAAGTCCAAACCCCGCCTTCTCCTTCACCCCTCATAACCTAAAAAAAGCTTAAGCAATTTACAGAAACAAGAGGTTCCTCAAAACAAGCAGTTCCCCAAAACAAGCATGGTATAAATTATGTTCAAATGAAAAGCAGTAATATTCTTCATAATTCTTCTCTGCTATCTTAAGGTTTTGTTTAGTTTTTTGTTTACTCTCATAAAAAAATTTGTGGCTTAAAAAAACAAATGTATAAAAAGAAGGTTAGACTGGGAAATGAACACCTGGATTCTGTCCCAGTCAGATGACCTTAAACAAGCATCTAACCCCTCCCAGACCTTGATATCCTCATCTATAACCTGAGGATATTGAATAAGTAAGATCTACTTCTAACTTCATCCTTCCGTGGTTCTACTGTTTCAGATTCCAAATCCAAACTCCCTAAGTGAAGGGCAAGGATTCAAAAGTGAAAGGAAAGCAACTGAGGCTCTCACTTTGCCAAAGTAAGAGTACTCTGCCATCAATGAAGAAGAACCCCCATCTGATAAGATCGGCTTCTAACAAGTTCAGCATCTCCTGGCACCCTCCAGCACGGCATTGTATCGTCCGAGGCAAATCACATCTCCACACTTTGCCTCAGTCCCTTTATAGTCCTTTTCGCCTCATCAGCAAAACAAAAATAGTCCTTTATTTACTAAATCTGGAAATTCTGATGGGAGGCAAAAGGAGAGTTGAAGAATTTGCAATGAATTTCATCAGCCAGGAGAGGGAGTTTAACACTGGCCCTCCAGAAAAACTGCATGCAATAAAAGAGGAGCTTCTGGAAACCCAGGTTTCGGCTTGGCCCTGCTGGGTGACCAAGGAGAAATCCAGCACCAAACAGGTTAAGTGACTTACCTGTAGATAGCTGCACTCTGAGACTTCTGAGCCCCGCTCCAATTCTAAAATGTTAAAAGTCCACAAACTTAATAACAGAAGGGAAGGGGAAAAAGTTCTGAGAGTAATGAAAAGTCTAGTTTGAGAGAAAGATGTTTCTGATGCCGATTTTCAAGTCAAGCTTCAGAGAAAAACTCAAAGGCTGTGTACTAATACCATATTCCTGAGTTGGGGAGGTTCATTCACAGCCTAATCCTGTCCCCTGAAGTCACGGTTATGTAAGTGTCTGTTGTATGCTGTGTCACTTGCTGTCCCCTACCCCCAACACAGGAGACGCACTGTAACCTGAGCTCGTCTGCTTCAGCCACTGAAAGCACTTACACAATACTCTGGTAGCTTTCCAAACTGACTAGTATTTCCACTAAAGAAAGGCAAGTTATTCGATTTTTCCCCCTCTTTCAGTTTCATTCATATTCATATTTCTGTATATACAGAGAAGACTGAAAAGACAAAATTGATGAGCATTTACATATTTTCTTCAACTCCTGAGTAAAAGAAGGATGGTTGAGTATTTCAACTTCACATAAGACTATTAAAACCCAATTAATTAATAAGCTGATAGGCCTGCTTGGGACCAATTTAAATACATCTCATATCCTAGCTGAACTGAGCTTCAAGGTCCTTTGATGGGAAGTGCAGTCAGGCCTCATCTCCCATACATGGACTGTTTATACACCCAAGGCACACACTCCACTACTACATGCTGCACATGCCCATATGTAAGGGCTTCAGGGGACACAGGAAATGACTCTAAAAGAATACAAGCAGACGCATCACTCCTCATGGAGTCTTTTCCGACTACTCTTCCTGCCCTATCTCTTCCTCCTCTGGACTACTCTAGCCACTGTGCGGTCTTCTATTATTAAATGATGAATCACACTCACTCTTGTCTTGTTTGCATATCATGCTATGACTAAGTTTCTCATGATCAGGGATGAAATTCGTCTTTGCATCCAAAGGACCTAAGAAAGTATTTGAGGGCCGGCCCGGCAGCTTAGCAGTTAAGTGCGCGCGCTCCGCTGCTGGCGGCCCGGGTTCGGATCCCGGGCGCGCACCGACGGACCGCTTCTCCGGCCATGCTGAGGCTGAATCCCACATACAGCAACTAGAAGGATGTGCAGCTATGACATACAACTATCTACTGGGGCTTTGGGGGAAAAATAAATAAATAAATAAAATCTTAAAAAAAAAAAAAAAGAAAGTATTTGATATACAATAAGAGTTCAAAAAAGTTCTGAACTGACTCAGCATCAAAACAAGCACCCATAGGGGCCGGGCCGGTGGCATACTGGTTGGGTTCATGCGCTCCACTTTGGCAGCCCCAGGGTTCACGGGGTCGGATCCCAGCCGTGGACGTGCACACTGCTCATCAAGCCATGCTGTGGCGGTGTGCCACATGCAAAGTGGAGGAAGACTGGCATAGATGTTAGCTCAGGGACAATCTTCCTCAAGCAAAAAGAGGAAGACTGGCAACAGATGTTAGCTCAGGGCCAATCCTCCTCACAAAAAAAAAAAAAAGCACCCATAAAATGATGCAATATTGCAATTTTCAAACTAACAAATCAAGTAACTATATCTCACCCGCTAAGCATTTGATGAAAACAACAGCATTAGAGGGTTTCCCAACTCTGGATCTTGTTTTCAAAAGTAGGCCAACGAGGCTATGTGTAAATTGTTCGATTACTACGTCCAGTAGACGGTACATAAGAGCTGTAAGTTTCAAATTAGATCATTACTGGGCCGGCCCGTGGCTTAGCGGTTAAGTGCACACGCTCCGATGCTGGTGGCCAGGGTTTAGATCCCGGGCGCGCACCAACACACTGCTTCTCCGCCATGCTGAGGCCACGTCCCACATACAGCAACTAGAAGGATGTGCAACTATAACATACAACTATCTACTGGGGCTTTGGGGGAAATAAATAAATAAATAAAATGTAAAAACAAAATCAAATTAGATCATTACCTTTGCTGACACTACTATCCTTTCTAGAATAGTGCTGTCCAATAGAAATATAATGTGAGATATATGTGTAATTTTGAATTTTCTAGTAACCATGTTTAAAAAATAAAACAGCTGAAATTAATAACATTTTATTTAACCCAGTAAATCTGAAATATTACTTCAAAACATAATATAAAAATAATTACTAAGCTATTTCACATTCTTTTTTTCATACTAGGTCTTTGAAATCTATTGTGTATTTTACACTTATAGCACATATCAACTTGGACTTGCCACATTTCAAGTGCTCAAAAGCCATGTATGGCTTGTGGCTACTGTACTAAACAGTGCAGGTGTAGAATATACATTTAAGGCAGAATATAAAGTAGCTCTCCTCTTGGCATCAATAACAAACTTGCCAATCAGATACCCCAGATTGGGCTGGGTACGAAACCTTCATCTTTCCTACTTCATTACAACACCTATGTGAGCAAAAGATCAGAAAAATGTAAACTCTTGAATATAAAACTGTGAATAATCTAACTGTTCTTAAGATAAAAAGGTAAAAATAGCATTTACAATAAGAGGACCTTTAAAATATCTATTTGACAGGGGATACATAGTGTATAAAGAAGCCCTGCTTATAGCACAGGCACTGCCCAGTAAAACTGACAGCTGAACACTAAGAGTTCGAAAATACACCCACACAAACTCAAAGCAAAGTACAGAGACTGGGTTACAGATGAAAATGTAATAAGTGTGTCTCAAGATACAAGAAAGGAACCTGAGAGTCAGTGACAGGCAGATTTAAGGCCAATATCACAGGAGGCAGCATTTCAAGTACAAAGAGGGGAGTGAGAGCATTATTCTACTGAAGCAGCATCAGGCTTGGCTTTTTCTTTTTGATTGCGGGAAACCAATGCAGTGTCAAGGAATGGCGTGATAAGAACATGTGGAGGGCCAGCCCGTGGCTTAGCGGTTAAGTGCCTGCGCTCCGCTACTGGCAGCCCAGGTTCGGATCCCAGGCGTGCACCAATGCACTGCTTCTCCGGCCATGCTGAGGCCGCATCCCACATACAGCAACTAGAAGGATGTGCAACTATGACATACAACTATCTACTGGGGCTTTGGGGAAAAAAAAAAAGGAGGAGGATTGGCAATCGATGTTAGCTCAGAGCCAGTCTTCCTCAGCAAATAAAAGAGGAGGATTAGTTCGGATGTTAGCTCCGGGCTGATCTTCCTCACACACACACAAAAAAAGAACATGTGGAAAGATCAGCCTGCAGACTGGAGGGAAAAACTGAAGGAGAGAAAAGAGAGGTGAAGGATGTGACTCTACTGTCAGCTATTTGTTTTTACTAATCTGATATTTTTTCCCCTAAACTTTAGTAAATTGGTTTTGACTTAGAAACAGTCTAGTGGCTATAATTTAACATGTAAGACCCAGGAAAGAAAGAGCATTGTCCCAAGTTTTAACATCTGGAAAACTTGTTAATCTACTAAATGAACACACAAAATACTCCCTGGAGGATCGAGGGAGGAGCATCTCCTCCAGGGTAGAGTATCTGGCAAGCACATGAGTGGTCAGCCAATGTGAACTGATGATGAGTGACATGAAGCCACCTAAGGTCATCCTAAGGTTCTGGGCTCCCAGAAGCTCGCCCCTTGAACACAGGGAAAATGTGTGTGATGTCACCAAACACAGTGTAGGGTGCAGGCCGCAGAGGAGCCACTGCTTCACATCAGTGCAATAACAAGTAAGATAAACTAGAGAGAAGAGCCTGGAGACATTTGTTTTCAGCAGCAACTAAGTTGTTGGTTTAAAGGCAACAGGATAAATCTTACACATGGGAAGTAAGTCTACTAAGGCTGGTACCTGGGAAGACAGGGAGGGAAATTCCAAATTACCCCTCTGTTTCTTTATCCCACCATGTCCCAGCAGAGCATTCCAAGACTCAGGAATAATGAAAAGATTAGCCAGGGAAAAAGGTCATACAGCCCTGTCACAAATAAACACGCAGGAAGTGAAAGAGAGCCATTTTCCCAAGTGGAAAGAAATAGAGAATCCATCTTCCAGAGAGGCGACTCTATCCTTCAAGGGGTATGCCTAAAAGGGTGGAGCAGTGTCTCAAATTTGTTCAGGAGGCCAGAGCATCTGGAAATAGTGGTGTTCTTAATAGAATACCATGAAATATTGAGGTTCTGTACAAAGTCTAAAGTTTCTAAATATTCAGTAGCAGGAGCCTAAGACAAACTAAAAACCCTTACAATAAGTGAAAAATGAAATTAAGAAAACCACTGTTCACTATTTTTCATATAAATTGGAAAAAGCAGCATCGTAGCCTAGCTTGAAGATTATCAGCATTCTCCAAAGATCACTGGGCTGAAGAAACAGAATCTTCTAAGAATTGAAAGATTGATGCCTCTCTCGCAGTTCATTCAAGTTATTTTTGTACTACATTTGATAAACTTACAGTTAATCCACAAGCTGAAGAAAGAGCTGATAATAACTTATATTCGTGTAGCACTAAATTTATATATTTCAGAAATCATTATAAAGCATGACACAAAATAATAAAATAAGTTAAAGGAAGGGAAAAGCAGACATGTGAGACAGGTGAAATTAAAATGTAAAAAACACCAACTTAACTAATGGTGCCACTTGTCAATACTTCCATTCAGTTCCACATTTCTCTATCAAGTTTATTACCTTGTTTTTACAGGATTTATTTATAAATAAAAGAGCCGTGTGTCAGAATAAGGGCGCTCACAGCTATTCTTCAAAAACATGGTCCTCACTGTCTTCACTTGCAACAATTTCAGATCAGTGTGCCTCTCATATGGTAGATTACTTAACAAATGTTAACTGAATATTAAAGCCACGCAGGGCCAGCCCCGTGGCTTAGTGGTTAAGTGCGCGCGCTCCGCTACTGGAGGCCCGGGTTCGGATCCCGGGCGCGCACCGACGCACTGCTTGTCCGGCCATGCTGAGGCTGCGTCCCACATACAGCAACTAGAAGGATGTCCAACTATGTCATACAACTATCTAC